CTTCAGGGGCTCACATTTGACTAAGGGAAGGGGGACAGAATAGATGACTGAAAGACAAGAAGTTGCCAGTCTGCCTGGGACTGAATCTATTTTAGGATTGAAAGCCCTGTGTCCCAGACAAACCACGATGATTTCTAATAGGTCACCCTACTAGAAGCAAGTCCTCCCAAATTAAATGGAGTTAGAGTTCAGAATTTCATTTCAATCCATAGATTGGCCTCTTAGCTCTACCTCTTTGCCTTCTGTTTTTTTAATCTTGTTTTTAAATTTACTTTTAGTGCTTGCTCTAGGCAACTTGTCTCAAACTCTATACTCTTGAAAAGTATTGAGATCATTTAGTCTTTCTTCTGCATTATTCATTCTGCTATTCAGGGCCTCTAGCTCAGCTTTTGTCTTGGCAAATGAATATTCTAACTTTTCTTGACTCCTCCTTATAATTTCTAGTTTCTTTTTGCAGAATTAGCATTCCTTGTCGATAGCCTTTCTCAATTTCTTCAGAGACTGGCACAACACTATAAATCAACTCTGCTCACATGTCAACTTGCTTCAGTCGTGTCCGACTCTTTGCGACCCAGTGGACTGTAGCCTGCCAGGCTCCTCTGTTCATGGAATTCTCCGGGCAAGAATACTGGAGTGAGTTGCCATTTCCTCCTCCAGGGAATCCTCCCAACCCAGGGATCGAACCCAGGCCTCCTGAATTGCAGGCCGATTCTTTACCCTCTGGTCTGTCCTCCAGCTCAGCTCATTCACCTTGATTCCTGCCCATAACCCTACAGACTGGAGCATCTCTCCTACAGCAGCTCTGCTCATGACAAAGTCTTGAAGTTTTCTTTTATCTGAAAATGCTTTCATTTCATCTTCAATCTTGAAGAACATTTTCACTAGCAAAGTAACTTGGAGCTGAGGATTTTTTTTTCTTTTGGTGTTCTGAAGATGCAGCGACACTGCTTGCTTCTATATGGTTTTTGATGAGAAAGCAGTGACATTGAGAATGTTGTTCTCTGTTTGCGGCATGTCCTTTATCTCTGTCCAGCCTCTTTCAAGTTTCCCGTCTTATCTTTGGTTTTTAGCAGTTTGACTCTGATGTGCCTTTTTGTTTATTTTCAATTCCGATTGAAGTTTATGAAGTTTCTTGAACCTGAAGATATATGCCTTTCACAAAAGCTGGAAAGTTCCAGCCATTATTCCTTTGAATATTTTTGCTGCCTCACTCTCTCTCCCTCCTCTCCTTCTGGGACTCCAAGAATACATATCTTAGAGGGTTTTTTTTTTTTTTAATATCATCCCCCTGAGTTTCTGCTCATTTTGAAAGTTTTTTCCCCTGTCTGTCCTTCAGATCGGTTAATTTCTATTTATCTGTCTTCAAGGTCACTGACTTTTCTACCATCTCCATCCTTCTATTAAGCCAGTGATTTTTTTTTTTATTAGTTGGAGGCTAATTACTTTACATCATTACAGTAGTTTTTGTTATACATTTTGTATATGTACCACAGCTTCCTCATCCATTCATCTGCTGATGGGCATCTGGGTTGCTTCCATGTCCTGGCTATTATAAACAGTGCTGCGATGAACAATGGGGTGCACGTGTCTCTTTCAGATCTGGTTTCCTTGGTGTGTATGCCCAGAAGTGGGATTGCTGGGTCATATAAGCCAGTGATTTTTTAAAATTTCATATCCTGCCTCTTTTTGGTTCTATATTTTAAGTTTCTGTTTTTCTGCTTGTGTTCCTGTCTTTTTTCTTTCAAAGGAGCCTAGCTTGCTACCCGACGGACTGTAGCTTTGCATCTCTGTGTGCTGAAGTCCTTGGGCTCTGACTCCACCATCTGGGTCATCTCAGGGGCTGGTCTGTTGTCTTTCTCTAGAGTGTGGTTTGTGTTTTCCTGTGTCTTCTTATTTGGAGTAATTGTGGATTATATCCTGGACATTATAAAGTCTGTGGCTTCTGTGATGTTCCTCCAAAAACTATTGATTTTTTTTTTTTCAAGTAGGCAGTTAACTTCGTTCTCTCAACCTGTAGACTGTCTTGAGATGAGCAATAGCCCAAATTTAAGTCATCTTTTAGTCCTAGCTGGGTTGCCTGGAGCCTGCCCCCAAACAGCCATTGTTGAGAGGAATGATGTAGAAATATCTGAGACACTCGAGTAGCTTACAGCCTGATTATGAGCCAAGCATCACACAGCGAGAGAATGATGCACTTGAACTTGGAGCTCAGGAAGGTGGGTCAGGCTCAATGCTATGGCCCCCACCTCTTATCCTCACATGGCCTGTGCCCACATGCAGATCGATGTGAGCAAAAGCACCCCGTGGTGCAGAAATTAAGAAAAGCATGCTTGCTTTCCCTAAGACCTGCTCCCTTTCCCAGGGCTCCCCTACTTCCCCACTCCCAGCCCTGAGGACCCCCATGCCTAAATCTCTGCCATAATTGATGGGGCAGCTACTTCTGCTTCTCCTGCCCAGGTTATAAACTGCAGAGCAACAGCTGCTTCTATCTCCCTGCCAGCTGGAGAGGAGGTCCCAGAGAGGGGAAGTGATCCCGGAAGCAGGACTGGGGAACTGCTGACCCCCAGGAGCCCCACACGGGCCTGCCTCACTAGTCCCCCTAGTCCCACATGGGCCTGCTGTCACCAGCTGAGGCTCCTTCTCGGTCCCCAGTCCCTATGGCTTTCTCCCCTGACCCCAACACACACTACAGCTGCACCACCCAGGTTGGCCCTGGTCAGGTTCTCCTGTGCAAAGGGTCAGATTCACCAAAATGGGGACTACATCCAGGCCCTGGGCCTCTCCAGACTCCAGCTGCAGGAGGGGTCTCTCCGCTTCACCCTCTTGGTCCCCTGCCCTCTTTCCCACCCAGTCTCCAGCCAGCACTTTACCCCCTGTCCATTTAGAGTGACCAGCTGTCCTGGTTCACCCAGAATCTCCCCAGTTTTAAAACTGAAAGCCCTACATCCCAAGAAGGCTTTTAGTCCCATGCAAATTGGCGTCCTGCCTGCCTTGGGGTTTTCTTTCAAGGGCCTCCTCCTCCTCTCCTCCAGAACGTCTCCAGGAACGATGGGCTAATCAAGGTACTCCACTAAATCCTGCTCTTAGGAAGGGAGCACAAGCTTAGGACCAGAGTACAACCCAGCTCACACAGACTGTCCAAGGGAACATGCTCCAAAGGAAGACTAGAGGAGGATCCCCAGCCCCCATGGGAGCCTCAGCTGGTGTCTTCCCACCAGATGGGTCATGGACCGGTACTGTTGTTCATGCCTGTGGATGGTTCTCTGGCTTCCCAGGTGCTCCTTGTAACCCTAAGAGTTATATATCAATAAAAGGGCAGGTTTCAGGACTTCCCTGGTGCTCCAGTGGTTAAGACAGTGAGCTTCCAACCCGGGGAGGCCGGGATTCGATCCTTGGTTGGGGAACTAAGATCTTGCATGCTGCAGGGTCAAAAAATAGAATAAAAATAAACCACCTCCAATATTTACCCCTGAGTCAGACAGCAAGTAGTATCTACTCTAGAGACTTTTTTAAGGTCATGCTGACAATCACTATATTTCCAAGAACTTTCCACTGCACCTGTTCCTTGAGCCTTCCCCAGACACAGTCCCACAGCCTCGCTCAGGCCAAGCCCTCACACTCCCCTTGGAGGGAATGGACTGTTCTCCCACCTGAAGATGGAAAGTACAATGTGTCCGATATCCATTTAACTTTCTCTTTTCCTTTGAACATGTTAAGCTGCCCTTTTTTCCCCTCTAAATACTCTGTAATGAAATCCTGGTACTTGTTTTTAGAAAGCAAGCCCACAAATGCTCATGAAATAAATCTCAGGAAGATGAGAGTATAATCCTTCTTATCCTGGAGCTGCAGAAAATCAGACATGATTCTTCTTCACAGAGTTGATCCTGATAAAAGGATGAATTGAGAACATTCAGTGAAGATAAATAATCCTGTTCTCTGTTATACTTCTGTCATCTTTGGGAGTGTAACTTGTATGGAGGAATCTTTTTAAAATATTCAGACTTCAGGGATGATTGCTATAGGAGCAGTGCAATGGCATCTATAAACTTTAAAAGGCGGCACCTCAGGAATTCTCTGGAAATCCAATGGTTAAGATGCCAAGCTTCCACTGCCTGGGGCAGGTTCAATCCTTGATTGGGGGACTAAGATCCTGTCTGCTGTGTAGCACAGCCCCAAAACAAGGAAACAAAAGGCTGCAACTGTGGTCAGCCATTGATAACTTATTCCTCTGAAAACGATATTTAACTTAACTTCTTCAGGAACTTTCCTGACAGTTCAGAGGTTAAGACTTCAGCTTCCAATGCAGGGGGTGCACGTTCAACCCGTGGTCCAGAAGCTAAGGTCCCAGGTACTTTGCAGCCAAAAAACCAAAATGTAAAACAGAAAAGTGAAAGTGGAAGTCACTCAGTCGTGTCCGATTCTTTGTGATCCCATGGACTATACAGTCCATGGAATTCTCCAGGCCAGAACCCCAGAGTGGGTAGCCTTCCCCTTCTCCAGGGGATGGTCACAACTCAAGGATCGAACCCAGGTTTCCCACATTGCAGGCAGATTCTTTACCAGTTGAGTCATAAACAGAAGCAATATTGTAACAAATTCAATAGTCTTTAAAAATGGTCCATAAAATAATAGTAAATTAACTAATTAACCTTTTCCATTTCCAGAAAGCATAAGTACTTGTGAGACTGTGGTTTATTTGTTAGACCAGACAGATACCTTTGGGACTCTCTTCTCCTTTCTAGCATAAAGGTAAAATTCCATTACTCCGTTTGACCCTTTTTTTCCCCAAAGTTTTTAAGAGCTTCGGAGCCTGCAGGTACTTGAATTAACAGGAGGAATCCCTGCGCTGTGACCTACCAGGAGAGACAGGAATCAGCTTTATGGCACGCGATGGGAGTTCAGACAGGGCAGCCCTTTGTCCACAGACACGCCCCCACCCCCCTCCACCTGCCTACAGAAACTTTGGCCTGAAACTGACCCTGTCTTGCGTCAGCCCGAGCCTGCTGGACAAGCAGCATCCGGGCCTGTAAGCCGGATTCAAGGACTGCCTCAGGGCGGCCCTCAGTCCTGTTTGGTGAGGCGGGAGGTAGGGTGGTCACAAAGTTCACTGTCTACAAGAGGCTGGCTGGTTACAGAATGAGCAGGAGGTCAGGGAGGGAGAAGTCTTGCTGATTAAAGGCGAAAGGCTAACTCAGAAGGAGCCATCCTACCGAGTGTGAAACACGCACACGGTAAAAATTAAACAGTGCGAAAAAGACAAGAGTGAGTGCCCCCTCCCACCCCTGATGGCCTCTGGGGCCAGGGCGGTTGTGGAGTTGTTTTTCCTCTGCTTTGGGGTAGGTGAGCTATTCTTGAATCAGACAGCAGGTGGCGCTCAATCCAGAGAATTAGAGAAAAGGGAACTGCGGAGAATTACTCAACTCATTTCCAGTAACTTCTGCCTCCTCCCCCACAGGGCCTTCTCCAGCCCCACTTCCTGTTCCCTGGCCCGGGCCAAGTCCTCTCAGGACTCAGATGTCGGGTTCCAGATGCCTGGTCTCAGAGTTGTGGGAACAGTTTCTGGGGAAGCCTCACTCCACCCGCTGCCCAGGCAACATGTGAGTGTGCCTGGAGGGGCTGGGGAGGCTGAGGAGACTGGGGAGGCTGGAGAGGCTGAGGAGGCTGAGGAGATTGGAGGCCGGAGAGGCTGAGAGAAGTCTGGGGACATGGGAAAGGCACCCTGGGGCAGATGTGCACACTTACACACACACACACACACACACACACACACGCACACACACACACACACAGCCTCCAGCCTTCCCTGGGGTGTGCTGGCTCAAGCTCCAGCCAGGACACTATCGTATGTAAATGCCTCTCACTTGTAACCTCCAGGCTCTTCAGACACCAGGGTGGGCCTGGGGTTGGCTGAAGCAGACAGAAAACAGCCCCTGCTTGGATGGGCCTCTCCAGGGAGGTGGGCAGCAGTGGAAAACCCACAGTCCAAGCACAGGCTGACCAGGAGGCTGAAGGAATTGGGGCAGGAGGGGCCATAAGAGTGTGGACAGAGGTGCCCAGACCTCTCAGCTCTTAGCGCTGCCTGCCCCCCCCTCATGTCTCCGCAGGCCCCAGGCCACAGCCATGCAGCCCCATCTGCGCTGGCCCACTCCCAAGTGGTGGTTCCTCCTCTGGGGAGTCCTCCAGGCTTGCCCCACGCAGGGCTCCGTGGTGCTCCTGGCCCAATGGCTGCCCCAGAAGCTGACATCCCCTGGGTACCCGGAGCCGTACGTCAAAGGCCAGGAGAGCTCCATGGACATCGAGGCTCCAGAGGGCTATGCTGTGAGGCTCCTGTTCCAGGACTTTGACCTGGAGCCGTCCCCGGACTGTGAGCAGGACTCCGTCACAGTGAGCTGGGTGGGGTTCTGGAGGGACTCCGAATGGGGAGGGCCCTTGCTGGAGCCCCAGGGCAGAGGGAGGGGGCCAGGCCCCGAAACTCGAGGCTTACCCAGGCCAGGTCTTCCAGCTGAGGCCCCATGCTTACCTGTGCCCCCTGCCATCTGGGCCCCACCAACGAGAGAGAAGGCCACAGGTCAGGAAGCCTCACCAAGGGACACACAAACACTGCAAATCCCTAGAGTCGGAAGCAAGAACTCACACATCAGTCATTAAAAATGCAGCATCAAGCATGTTGTATGCCTGCACTGTTGGGCTCAGGAGCTGGATGTTCAGTTCAGTTCAATCGCTTAGTCGCGTCAGACTCTGCGATCCCATGGACTGCAGCACACCAGACTTCCCTGTCCATCACCAACTGCCGCAGCTTGCTGAAACTCATATCCATTGAGTCAGTGATCCCATCCAACCATCTCATCCTCTGTTGTCCCCTTCTCCTGCCTTCAATCTTTCCCAGTATCAGCATCTTATCCAATGAGTCAGTTCTTCGCATCAGATGGCCAAAGTATTGGAGCTTCATCATCAGTCCTTCCAATGAATATTCAGGATTGATTTCATTTAGGATTGACTGGTTTGATCTCCTTTCAGTCCAAGGGACTCTCAAGAGTCTTCTCCAACATCACAGTTCAAAAGCATCAATTCTTCGGTGCTCAGCCTTTCTTTACAGTCCAACTCTCACATCCATACATGACTACTGGAAAAAATCATAGCTTTGACTAGACAGATCCTTGTTGGCAAGGTAATGTCTCAGCTTTTTAATATGCTGTCTAGGTTTGTCATTGTTTTTCTTCCAAGGAGCAAGTGTCTTTTAATTTCATGGCTTCAGTCACCATCTGCAGTGATTTTGGAGCCAAAGAACATAAAATCTGCCACTGTTTCCTTTGTTTCCCCATCTATTTGCCATGAAGTGGTGGGACTGGATGCCATGATCTTAGTTTTTTGAATGTTGAGTTTTAAGCCAAATTTATCACTCTCCTCTTTCACTTTCATCAAGAGGTTCTTTAGTTCCTCTTCACTTTCTGCCATAAGGGTGGTGTCATCTGCATATGTGAGGTTATTGATATTTCTCCTGGCAATCTTGACTCCAGCTTGTGCTTCATCCAGCCCGGCATTTCACATGATGTAGAAGTTAAATAAGCAGGGTGACAATATACAGCTTTGACTTACTCCTTTCCCTGTTTGGAACCAGTCCATTGTTCCATATCCAGAACTGTTGCTTCTTGACCTGCATATAGGTTTCTCGGAAGGCAGGTAGGGTGGTCTGGTACTCCCATTGCTTTAAGAATGTTCCACAGTTTGTTGTGATCCACAGAGTCAAAGACTTTGGTGTAGTCAATAAAGCAGAAGTAGATGGTTTTCTGGAATTCTCGTACTTTTTCTATGATCCAACAGATGTTGGCAATTTGATCTCTGGTTTCTCTGCCTTTTCTAACTCCACCTTGAACATCTGGGAAGTTCTCAGTTCACATACTGTTGAAGCCTAGCTTGGAGAATTTTGAGCGCTACTTTGCTAATGTGTGAAATGAGTGCAAGTGTGCAGTAGTTTGAACATTCTTTGGCATTGCCTTTCTTTAGGACTGGAATGAAAACTGACCTTTTCCAGTCCTGTGGCCACTGCTGAGTTTTCCAAATTTGCTGGCATATTGAGTGCAGCACTTTCACAGCATCATCTTTTAAGATTTGAAAGAGCTCAACTGGAATTCCATCACCTCCTCTAGCTTTGTTTGTAGTGATGCTTCCTAAGGCCCACTTGACTTCACATTCCAGGATGTCTGGCTCTAGGTGAGTGATCACACCATCGTGGTTATCTGGGTCATGAAGATCTTTTTTGTATAGTTCTTCTGTGCATCCTTTCCACCTCATCTTAATATCTTCTGCTTCTGTTAGGTCCATACCGTTTCTGTCCTTGATTGTACCCATCTTTGCATGAAATGTTCCCTTGGTATCTCTGATTTTCTTGAAGAGATCTCTAGTGTTTCCCATTCTATTGTTTTTTTCTATTTCTTTGCATTCTTCATTTAGGAAGGCTTTCTTATCTCTCCTTGCTATTCTTTGAAACTCTGCTCTCAGATGGGTATATCTTTCCTTTTCTCCTTTGCCTTTCACTTCTCTTCTTTTCTCAGCTATTTGTAAGGCCTCCTCAGACAACCATTTTGCCTTTTTGCATTTCTTTTTCTTGGGAATGATTTTGATCACAGCCTCTGGTACAATGTTATGAACTTCCATCTATAACATTGTATAATCCATTTATTATAAGTTTCCATTTCAATTCCTGAAATAAGGTGGGCTGTATAATGTAACTATGGTGGGCTAAAGAAATCAGCTAGGTATCTGGTCATGGATTGAAGAAACTTGGGAACCAGGAATAGAACAGGAACTGACTTAAGGAAGTTTCAAGGAGGTAGTACAGCTTCCAAACCCCAATAATGTGCAGAACCTTCAAGACGGGGCTGGGGTCCACACTGACATGACCCTGTGACCACGAGTGGTCAGGATCACCCCATACCTGCCTACCCCCTCCACTTGCAGATCACAGCCAGTGGGATGGATCTCGGCCAGTTCTGTGGGCAGCAGGGCTCCCTGCTGGGCAGGCCCCCTGGTCAGAGGGAGTTTGTGTCCTCAGGGAACAGTTTGCGGCTGACCTTCAGTGCCCCAGCCTCTGAAGACAAGACCCCAGGCCTCCACAAGGGCTTCCTGGCCCTCTACCAAGCCGTAGGTGAGGGTGCCCCCAGGGTGCAGGGAGGGAAGTCCCTGCCCACAGCCCTGGCCCTGGTATCTTTTTTTTTTTTTGGCTGTGCTGGTTCTTCATTGATGCATGCCAGCTTTCTCTAGTTGCAGTGAGGGGGGCTACTCTCTAGTTGCGGTGCTCGGGCTTCTTGCTTAAGTGGCTTCTCTTATAGTGGAACATGGGCTCAATAATTGTGGTGCACAGGCTTAGTTGCTCCGTGATATGTGGGATCTTCCTCGACCAAACTCATATCGCTTGCATTGTAAGGCAGAGTCTTAACCACTGAACACTAGGGAAGCCCTCCCTCGTATCTTGAAGTGACCAGTGGAAGCTGAGACTGGGAGTTTGGGATACTGGGGCTTAGCCCCTTGATGCCCAGCCTGCCCTCTGGTGAGCAGCCTGGTACCTGAGTACCAGCTCAGCTCCATTGTTTCCCTGCAGATTGACAGCCCCAGTGCTGGCAGATCATCTCATATTTTAACCGAAACTGAAAATTCAGAGTTTTAAGTGAAATTCTAGATTTACAAATGGTAACCCCAGGCTTTTTGAAAGATAAGGCATGCCCATGAGTAAAATTTTCAGTAAAAATAATCTTCCTCTGATCTCTGGCCCTTAGTCCCTGGCTCCCTTGCCCAAAAGTGACCCTGTTCTGTTTCCTGGGTATTCTTCCAAAGGCATTCTAGGCCGCTCGAATACAAATACTGTGGTGTGTGTGTGTGTGGCATACTAGTCACAATGTTTTAAATTTGCCCTTTTTCATTCAGTTAAATATATATATATATATATATTGGCCACAACTTGAGGCTTGCGGGATCTTAGCTCCCTGACCAGAAATCAAACTCAGGCCCTGGCAGTGGAATTGCTGAGTCCAAACCACTGCACCACCAGGGTTTTGGTAATTAGTGTTGCCTAATTCTTTTAAAGACCATATAATATTCCTTTATTGATGCATCATAGTATATTTAATCAGTCTTTCAGTGATAGATAGGTAGATCCTACAAACAGTACTGCTCTGAATATCTTTGTATATACATCATTGAGCACATGCATAAAGATAAATTCTTAGAAATAAAAAATTGAAAAATGTGTGCAATTTTAATTTTGATATTGCTAAATCTCCCTACAAAAGGTTTACTAATTTACACTCCCACTAACCACATATGAAAAATGTCTGTTTCCCCTTCCCTAATTTCACAGTTATTTTCAAACTTTTTTAGCATTAACGATCTGATTGGTGAAAAACAATTCAAATAATTCAAATGTTTAAAAAAAAGAAGAAAAGACTGTGCTGGGAATTCCCTTCGGTCCAGTGGTTAGGACTTGGTGCTTTCACTGTCAAGGACCTGGGTTTAATCCCTGGTTGGGGAACTAAGATCTTCCAAGCTATGATGCAATGCCAAATAAATAAAAAAATAAAAATTTCCAAAAGACTGTGCAGGTCAAACTAAATATGGTGACAGACCAGATTCAATACCTGGGTTGCCAGTTTGCAATTCTGTTCTCCGTACTAGTGACCACTGTTTTCCTATAGCTGTGAATTATACTCAGCCCATCAACCAGGCCACTGGGGTCCCGAAGGCCATTCACACACCTGGAGACAACCCCAGTGAGATCCAGAGCTGCTGCCAGGAGCCCTATTACGAGGCCGAGCCCTCAGGTGAGTCCCCATCTGCTGAGGATTCAGTTCCTACCTGTCTTACTCCCCTCCCACCCCCAAGGGACCTGAGGCCTCTTTGAGCCCCTACCTCCCAGATCTGAGCCTATTCTCTGCCTCCCTCGTTTCACTCCTCAGGGACACTCACCTGCACTGTCCGGGTGCCCTGGAAGCAGACCCAGGAAAGGGAGGAGGCTCCCCGCTGTGTGCCTGGTGAGTGGGCACCTGTGGTGCCATGAAGATGGCCACTTCCCAGAAGGGCCTCAGCTGCGTTTGGGCCTGTGGGTGCCGGGCGGCCTTAGAATAGAAAGGGGGAAGAAAAGGCAGAAAGTGAGGAAAGAAAGGGGAACCAAGAAGGCCCAGAAAAGGAGGAGCAAGGAACTCACCCCTTCTTCTTGAGGGTCAAGGGATAACCCAGAAAGGAAAAGCCAGAAGGGAGTTAACCAGATGGAAAATGAAGGAGGAAGAGAAACAGATGGGTTGAAAGAAGGGAAAACCCTCTCTTGACATGGTCTGCTTTAAGGATACACAGACAGGCTCTCTCCCCCAAATATCTCCCTACCTTGATGCTATAGTGCCTGAAAGCCTAGCATTGTTTTAAAGAGTTTTTTATGTGTGTAATGTGAAGTTCATATAACATAAAAATCACTGAAGTGCACTATTCAGTCATGTTTAGCAAGTTCACAATGTTGTGCAACCATTAGCACTTATTCTAGAACATTTCCCTCATCCCCAAAAGAGACGCCAACTCTACCTTCTCCCAGTCCTCTGGCAACCACTAACCACTTTCTATCTCTGTGAACTTGCCTGTTCTGGACACGGCATCTCAAGAGGATCATGTAAGAGCTTTTGCGCCTGGTTTCTTTCATCCCGTGTAATCTCTTCCAGGTTCACCCACACCGTAGCGTGCGTCAGTACTCCACTCCTTCTCATGGCTGAATAGAATTCCAGCATGCAGATAAACCACTTTGTTTATCCATTCAGTGACTGATTGACATTTGGGTCATTTACGCTTTTTTGCCTTTTATGGGTATTACTCCAGTGAGAACACCTTCATTTCTCCTGTGTATAGACTAAGGAGTGGAATTGCTGGCTCACATACTAACTCTGTGTTTAACTTTTTGAGGAATCGCCACACCGTTTTCCACAGCAGTTGAACGATTTTACATTCCTACCAGCAACAGATGATGGTTCAGATCTAGCATTGTTGGCTGGTTGTCTGTTTTGTTTTGAATTTTTTGACTGAGTCATTCAGCTTGTGGGATCTTAGTTCAGTGACCAGGGACTGAATGGAATTACAGTGGCAGTGGAAGCACAGAGTCCTAACCACTGGACCACCAGGGAATTTCCTCAGATCCACCATTTTTGAAACTCAGTTTTTGAGCCAAACATTGCCTTTCTAACCCAGTCTTAGTACCTTTGTCAGGTTTTACTCCAGAGCCACAGAAAGCTCTAGGGGCAACCTGACCTCATGCTCTGGGAGGGAGAGATGTCAAAAATACAGAAATGACACACACACAGACAGGAGACACTGCAGACAAATGCTGCTTGCTGCACGATATTGTTCAAAGAAGGTGGCAGGGAATCTAAAAAAGTGGCTTAGGAAAAAAGTGGTGCAACTGGTTAAGAATCTGCATTTCCACTACAGAGAGCACAAGTTCGATCCCTGGTCAGGGAACCAAGATCCTACAAGCCTGCATGGTGCAGCCAAATAAGTAAATAAATAAAGATGAAAATAAAAAAGCAGCTTTAAAAATGGCCGAGGAGGAAGAGGAGGTTGCAGAAGCAGGTTTTCAATAAGCGTCTCTTGATACAGCACTGACTTTACCCCTCCTCTCTCTCAGCGTGTGGAAGGCCGGTGGTCCCCATCTCCCAGACCCAGGAGTCCCTTGGCGCCTCCAGAGCTGAGCTGGGCAGCTTCCCCTGGCAGGCCCTCACCAGCATCTATGGCAGGGGCGGCGGGGCCCTGCTGGGTGACCGCTGGGTTCTCACCGCTGCCCACACCATCCACCCCAAGGACAGCATCTTGCTCGGGAAGAACCGGAGGGCCCAGGTGTTCCTGGGCCACACGGACACAGACCAGATGCTGGAGCTGGGCGGCCACCCCGTGCGCCGCGTGGTCGTGCACCCAGATTACCGTCAGGACGAGCCCCACGACTTCCACGGAGACATCGCGCTCCTGGAGCTGGAGCGCAGCGTCCCCTTGGGCCCCCACCTCCTCCCAGTCTGCCTGCCGGACCGCGAGGCCTTGTACCGGCCCGGCCGGTGGGGCTACGTCAGCGGCTTCGGCGTGGAGATGGGCTGGCTGAGCACCAAGCTCAAGTACTCGCGGCTACCCGTGGCCCCGAGGGCGGCCTGCGAGGCCTGGCTCCGGGAGAGGCGGAGGCCCGAGGCGTTCACCAAGGGCATGTTCTGCGCCGGGGACCAGACGCGGCCGCAGAGTGTCTGCCAGGGGGACAGCGGCGGCGCCTTCGTGGTGTGGGACGATCGCGCCCGGCGCTGGGTGGCCACGGGCATCGTGTCCTGGGGCGTCGGGTGTGGCAAGGGGTACGGCTTCTACACCAAAGTGCTTGACTACGTGGACTGGATCCGGGGAGTGATGGGCGGGAAGGACTGACCCCGAGGGGCCGGGCTGGGCGCCCACAGTGGAGCCCAGCCGGGAGAGCGCTGGGTTCAGGACTGAGCCCTGGGTGCGGGTGGGTGGATGAGGGAGACCTAACTAGGCCACAGAGCCAGAGAAATCCTCTCCTCCCACAGCCCCGCCTCCTCACCCTCCACCTGCCTAGGGGGCTTCTGCCACACCCGGGAAGCCCCATTCATCTCTGCTCTGAACTTCATCTCCTGCGGACCCAGCTTCTTCTGTACTCTCTTAGGAGACAGTCACCTTCTCATCCCCCTGTTCAAGTGCTGTGAAGGAGTAGTCTCAATTCGTTTCGTTTATGAAACATTCTGAAGCCCCTATAGTCCACCTTCAAATACTCAAACTCGTCTTCACCAAGCACAACCCATGGCTGCATTTGGAATTGTAGCTCTTTTTGTTGTTTTAAATCAGAAAAAAAAAAAAAAAAAAAACCCAACCAGGCGCTTCCTGTGCTACTTCATTAACTCCTCACACCAACTTTGCAAAGGTTGAGTTGTTATCCTCTGTTTTACCAAGAAGGAAACTGAAGCTCAGGGAGATAAGGGACTTTTGCAAACCCCACAGCTGATACATGACAGTGAAGACATGTGCTTTTCAGCACACCTCAACACCTCTAGGTGTCCTGAAGACCCGCTGTTTCGCCCACTCCCCAGTCCCCACATCCCCTTCAGGCACTCTTTTGGTGAAGATCACAACAGGTGCTCACAGCTTCCTGCTGGCCCCGCTACTGCAGACTCCTTCATGAGCCCAGCCCTGGGTGGATGTTCCTGTAGGCGTTCCCAGCACTGCTGGAATCCTCAGGCTCTGTCTGCACCATCAAGCACTGCTCCACCTGAAAAGACCAATTCTTTCATTTTAATGAGGACTTGAGCTGATGCTTTTTTTTTTTTTT